TGTGTGTTTCTAGACGTTTGGGAAACTTATTCTGCTTAAGCTAAACATATGGGATGCACAGACATTAAATTTCCGCTAACCCAGTTCTGTAGATTTTGTACTTCTGCTTTATTCATGGAAATTTGGTTAATTTGGTGAATGTGAATGCAACGTAAAGGAAAGCTTTTTCCATTTTATCGGGGTCGGATAAAACTTTATGGTTATAATGGTTTGCAGGAAGTTGACAAATTTAGTTGGGAGCAGCAAAAAGAGTTCTCCAGTGAAAGCTATCTACTCAGGTGAATTTTGGACACCGGCAGACAAGAATTCTCGTCAAGGAATTTGGTCCATAAGGTGGATTTAGTGTGCATGCATTATTAATATCTTCTCGGATAGGAAAGGTTGTGCATATCTTTCATTTTTTTTACGTCACTATGAATTTGATGTTGTAGGGAGGATGTGCAAGTTCCATCTTCGCCATACTTCCCTGCGTATGCCCAGGGACAGGGGCCACCCCCCATGGTGCAAGAACGCTTTCAAAGTGTTATTAGTCAGCTTTTCCAATATGTAAGGAGTAGCTATTGTGTTTTTCTTCCTGTTTAATTTAGCGTGTTTTGCATCGGTAGTTAGTTTCTTTTAACTAATGCTTTTCTTGTTTACATGACTGTCAGAGAATAATACGTTGTGGGGGAGCTGTTGATGATGATATGGCAAACATAATTGTTGCTCAACTTCTTTACCTTGATGCTGTTGATCCTCAGAAGGTCTGTACTTTTCTATTTCTGTTCTTTGCTTATCACTTTTCTATTTCTGTTCTTTGCTTATCGTTGCTCTCTCTCTCTCTCTCTCTCTCTCTCTCTCTCTCTCTCTCGCATGTTTCTTGCAGTGATTTTTGGAATTGAACGTATTTTTCCAATTGATTGATCAGATTGTCTCTTCTGATTTCTGAACAGGATATTGTGATGTATGTAAATTCACCAGGAGGATCTGTTACTGCTGGTACGATCTATCTTACAAAATTGTCTTGCTATGTTTACAATTTTTGTTCGTAAGGCAATTGTTATATGTTACTTGAATAACTAGCTCTTTATCTGCTTAGGTATGGCCGTTTTTGACACAATGAGGCATATTCGACCTGACGTCTCCACAGTATGTGTTGGACTTGCTGCTAGGTACCTGCCTCTATCATAGACTCTTCTCTTTCCCAGTTACTACTAATGAGTCTTCCATTGTTCTGTATGTGTCTAGTGTTAGCTTATATGGATACAAATAGTAGCTTTGGGAATTAAATTTATTCTAAACACAATTTTTTATGCTGCTTCACAGATACTCTTGACTTGATTTGCTTAATTTTTTTCGTTCGATTCCTCCATTTTATTGTCTTTCCGAGTGATGCTGCTGGCTATTACTGTTCTGTCTTGGATTCTTCTCCCATTTTATTAAAAAAGTAAAAATTTAAGGTATTCTTCTCCGTTGTATGAGTGGAGATGCTGATGCAGATTTAGGCTTTAGTTTGTGAAAGATTACATTTGTTTAATGCTTATACGTAACGTCTTATGTCAACTAGTTCTTCAGAATTTCAGCTATTTATTGATGGCAAGATTTCTTACTTGTTGGTTGTTGCTAATGTTAGCAACTGAAACAGAATGTCTGTTACCACTGACCAGTAATTGATATATGTATTTGCTTTTTCATAAACAGTATGGGAGCTTTCCTGCTTAGCGCTGGTACCAAAGGTAGCAATTCCTGTAGACCTTTGGTTTGTATAATTTGTGGTTTTGTGTCCTAAAGTTTGCTAAGTACTTTTCATATTTGCTGCATTAATTCACTGAAGGAAAAAGGTACAGCTTGCCAAATTCGAGGATAATGATCCATCAGCCTCTTGGTGGAGCTCAAGGTGGGCAAACTGACATCGATATTCAGGTATGTTATTTGTTTCCAGTTGTGAAACCTTTCTGTGTCAACCGAAAGCCAAAAAGGATTAACCTCTCTCCCTATATAGTGGGACCTCAAGTTACTTTAGCAATCACATCTTGCTTAATCTTTTATTGCTGGTAATCATGCCCGTCTATTTTGGTACTTCAACCTTTATAGGTTAAAGTAGAACTCTCGATGTCTTGAAAATTTAACCCGCCATTAAGGAAGATTAGGTTTCAAAGATTTGTAGAAGGCTTGGTCTGCTATTTTTTTGAATGGGTTGGTGTGTATTGTTTTTACCCGCCATCAAATCTCTAAGCAGTTGTCGTTCTATGCAGGCAAATGAGATGCTACATCATAAGGCAAACTTGAATGGTTATCTCGCCTACCACACTGGTCAAAGTCTTGAAAAGATCAACCAAGACACGGATCGCGATTTCTTCATGAGTGCGAAGGAAGCCCAAGAATACGGGCTTATAGATGGCGTTATATCGAATCCACTCAAAGCTTTCCAACCTTTGGCTGCCCCAACAGCGATTGAAGATGAATCTGCTGAGCAGACGGTTGCAGACAGTTAGAGGTGAATCTAGTGTCCGAACTTTACGGTTTGTTGCAAGTAACGACCTGGATATGTTGTAGAGTTGTATGGTGAGAAGAGGGATATATTTACGGGGTTAACTTTTAATGCTGGATGGCGTTAATATCCGTCAACCAGTGTAGAGAAACGCTAGTTTTGCTGTTGGTTTCCTCTGAACTACTAATACTTGAATCATGAAAGAATAGAAATTTCTCTTGGTATCTTTAAGCATCCTATTCTGGTATGAAATAAAGAAGGGATAAAAAAAACCCTCTGGCATGCTGGTTTTTCAGTCATGCATCCGAAATTTTTGTTCAATGGTAGGATCGGTTGGACTGTTCGACCCACTTACATATAAATTATCCACTACCACTAGGTCTCCTGCATATGCATTGTTCTAAAATCATCATCTAGCGCCACCTCGGCCTCGTTTATGCACTAGACGGCTGGTTTCCTTTTTTGATTAATTCCTAAGCTTTTTAAAATTAAAAAGGGCATCTTGACCTGTCTAGGTGGCCCTCTTAGACCGTCTGGATCACGACTCTTATTTATGCATAAAATAAATAACTTTTATTTTGTATTTTATTTTTTTAATTCATGGTAAGAGACTTGTTTAATACTTGATCCCTTTCAATCGTTATAATACTTTATAATCTATGTGTCATTCTATTTTGCAACTTATATATTATAATTATGTACTTTTTTAACTATAAGTATACATTTATTTATATGTTATACAATAAATTTAATTAAAATTAAAAATAAAAAAAATAAATAAACTGTCTAGGCCCCTTGCTTAGACGCCTAGGCGCTGGGTTCCTATCCGTAGCCTCGCTAGTGCTTAGCGCCTTTTGGAACCTTGTGTAGGTACAAACCTCAATGTAAGGGTTGCACTCCTTTGTGCGTGGGTTTGGGGATTTGGATCCTCTCCTCAGCCAACGGAGAGGATCCTCCCGATTAACCATTATGGGCCGTTAGATTTTCATCTAACGGCTATAATTATTATAACTTTAAAAGGACCTCCTGTTTGTAGCCGTTGGATTTTTATCCAACGGCTCACAATGGTTGGTCAGGATGATCCTCACCATTGGCTCAGGAGAGGATCCAAATCTTGGGTTTAGTAACCTATGTAGTCTTCTCCATTGGCTCAGGAAAGGATCCAAATCCTGGATTTGGTAACCTATGTAGTCTTGACATTGGACACAAGAATTTCTCTCCTTTTACGGTCGGTGGTGGTGAACTTGTTTAAACCTATTAATGCTGGTAACTTAGAGTGGTAGAAAAGGATAATGATTGGTGATTGGAATCTTCAAAAGCTTGAATGACTTCTACGGCACGTGACTTGCACGCCTGGTCCAGAGATGGCTACTTGTTATAGTTTGATGTTTGGCTTTTTGTAAAGGGAATCTGCAACCATAAAACACCAAAAAACAAATAAAACATAGACTTTGTGGATTGCACAGATTCCAGTACCTAATACTTATTTTATTAAAAAAATTAAAGAAAATGGCAAAGAAACAAACAAACAAACATCTCTCCCTCCGTCCCTCCCCTCCACCAAATCAACCGAATCCGCATGCTTGTTGGATTCTTTTTACGAGGGTTTCAGAAATTCGTAAATCGTGATCGTTTATTATATATCGTGCGATCAAAAGTTATTTTAAATATTTTTATTTAAAATTAAACATAAGTAGTACTTGACAAAAACTGATTGCACGATGTACGATGAATGAACACGATTCACAAATCCTTACAATCCTCACCAAAAGGATCCGAAGAGGATCCTGTTGGAAATCAACCACCCACAAAGTTAAAACTCTCTGGAAAGCAGGACGGACGGACGGCTCTTCCACCGAACCAAAACCACTCAAGAAAAAGAGCACACTCACTAACAACACCACATCTCCAAAAGATGTGTGATGAGCACTCGTGCACCTCGTGCCATCTTTAATTCACTTATAGATAGCACCTCTCAATGTGTGGCGAGAGAAATTTAAGTGTATTGATATGATTACGTATTATTGTGTGTTTTTATTTTTTACACGATAGTGTGTGATTGATTCAGATATTGTCATTGGTGCATTCCAAGCGCTTGCTAAAATGACGGTTCCCAAGCTGATTATAGGAAAGTGTTTCGATTTTTTTGCATGCGAATGTGTAATCAAGTAAGATATTGACATTGTGGCATTCCAAGTGCATATAATGGACGTGGTTCTCTAGGCAAGTAACATGTGCACGTGTTTCGATTTTTACCCATAATAATACGTAATTGAGTTAAATATCGTCGCTGCTAATTTCATTCCAGATGCGTACAAATTCTTTTCGACTATGTGTATGTATGTATTAGAAGGACAGTGTTGAAGTGACTTAAACCTACCCCCACTCGATCATTAACTTTTTTCTCATGAGTGTGATGACAAAGTGATCCAACTTTTCTCATTTTGTGAACCCAAATATTAGAAAAAAAAAATATTGTAAAAGATGCCTACAAAAAACAACTGGTGGTGGGTTGTGTGGGATGAACAAGAACAAGAAGATGACATATATTATTGACAATACATATATTTTAGGTACATAGTTCTAAAAACACTAAAAAACAAACGTTTTAATTTTCACATGGATCAAGAAGGGACAGAGGGAATCCTTTCAATTCCAAAGGAAAGATTGTTAGTCCTCCCCATGAAGCTTGGGAAGGATGAAAATGTTGGTAGTTCTTCAAGCTCATCAAAAAAGTCATTGTTTTCTTCTGATAATTTGGGTGTTGAGAAGCTCATCAGCTGAGAATATGACAGTGACAGTGGCTCTTGCTCTTCATCCAATAAGAACCCAAAACTCGTGTCGTGAGCCGTAAAAATGTGTTCTTCTTGGGAAGATCTGATTGGGGATTCGATGTAGTGGAAGCGTTCTTCCAATTTCCCATGTTCTTGTTCGTGATCTTGTTTTTTATCCTGATCTTGCTTTTGATCTTGTTCTTGTTCTTGATCATCTTCTTGTTCTTGCTCTTGCTTCTGATCATCTTCTTGTTCTTGTTGGGTCTGTTCATCTTCTTGTTCTTGTTGGGTAGTAGAGATCACATTCACATCAGGAGGACCTGGATGATTGTGGCTGGAAGTGTAGGTAATTATGAGAACTGAAGCATCGGTTTTGCTTCTTTCCACTTGTTTTTTCGCCGAGCAACCCTTCGATGTACTGCAACGGTAGTACCCCCTGCATCATCGGGTGGTTTCTCGGTCAGTCGCGGTGCAAACCACTCTTATCAACAAAAATACCAACAAAACTAAAACATTGTACTAACTTTGAAATCACACCATATACCAATCAAAGCTTCCAAATTTCTTGATATATGATCATAGATGACAGCATGCATGAGTACAAATAATCAAGGTAGTGATTTTCCCCTTCTGCACTTCTCCCTTGTAAAAGTTCATTAATAGGCTTAGCCTTTGATGTGTCGGGAAAGAAAATTGGAGTGTGAAAATTCACTTTTTGTATGGGGACTTCCTAATTTGATTAGAGGAAATTGACATTTAATATGTGAGACCATGGAGTGACTGATCATGAGAAAAGAGAAAAATATAAAACCTTGGATAAGGAGATCCCTTGATGGGTTTTTGGCCATATTTCCTCCATGACCAAAGATCGGAAGGCGGCCCTTCATTCTTTAGCTTCCCAACATTAGCTCCTATCTTCACTGTCACAACAGTCTTCTCATGAGCCACCTTCCTACAACAATACAAGAACATGTATATGTTAAAACTAAAAATAACAAAAATACTTATAAAAGTTTATGATGAAATTTAAAAGGCAGTGATTTTCAAGCTTCCAGTTTCTCCTTCCGTACTCCTGTCCTCCCTTTGTTTCAGTACATCGTTTTTTGTTTGGTTTAGATAGATATATACCTACCTTCTTTTGGATGGCTGAGTTTCTGGCCTGAGATTTCTTGAAACATCTGAGTCTGGTTCTGGAGAAAGGGTTTCATCCATGCTCCTCCTCCTTGGTGATGTTCTATCTTCTTTTTTCCTTTTTTTCTTCTTCTGGGGATGGAGAAAAGGAAGCTGCAGAAGCAAATGACACTAAAAAGGAGGAAGAAATGGATCAAGATGAGACAGAAGAGTTGTCCAATTGATTAAGAGAGAGAGACAGGAGAGAGAAACAGAGTGAGAGAGAGGAAAGGGAAAGCAAAGGAGGAGGATAAGCTAAGA